CTATCTATCGGCTGTGTCTGATAAATGTTAGGCAATTGTATGTATTGTATGCATACGTATGTACAATATGTTGAATCTCACCCACGACCTTGTGCAAACCTACTGCTTGCTCTGAGCTTTCTTCCTGTTATTCCTATGAGGTTCCAGGTATTTGGTGATGTCCAGTGCGTGGTATTCTATAGTATTCTAATTATAGTATGAATTAGGAATCCCAGGATTAACGCAATTGAATTAAGAAGACACAGGCACAACGAATGTACTGTATTTAGAATTCGAAATCGAGCATTCAACAAGTACAAAAGTATCATTGGTTCATTCAAACACCACATCCGCCACAGCTTAAATTGGAGTCTAGGTGTTTGTAATCAATCGTACGTCTTCTTCTCAAATTCATCCTCAGTCTGTCTGACATTGTATTGGATAAGGATTCTGTATTATCTAGAATATGCTCATTAGCATTAGAATTAACAATCGAAATTGGAACTGACTCACCTGGTTCCTGAAATTGTATTTGATCTACATGTCGACTGTGTGTACTTAAGTCATCAATGTCTAGAATTCGCACCATCGATTTTCCGACATTCTTCAGAACAATACCCGTAGATGGTCGAAGATCATTTCCTCGATAGTATGTAACCTCTGCAGACTCCAGACATCTCATATTCGACCGAAGAATTCTTCCTTTCAATAGCTTCGCTGGAGTCTCCTTCGTCACCGAATGTTTGGCATTTCTATATTGCAATAGAAAGGTATCTACTCCCCTCTCCAGCTCATTAAATGTTGAGGGGGCTATAGAATCAATAGCAGTCTTTAATGTCCTAACAAAATTCTCTGCCTGACCATTAGAACACGGATGTCTGGGAGCAGTAAATAGATGTTTGCACCCTATACCGTTCAACCAGGTAGTGACTGCATCTGCAGCAAAATGTGAGCCATTATCAGTCACCAACACCAAGGGAACACCTTCTCGACTAAACACCTTTCTTAATGCTTGTATTGTGAAATCAGAATTTGGTGAAGTTGTGAAAAAAACTTCAGGCCACTTTGAAAAAGAATCAATGACTACTAGTGCGTAGTATTTACCAAGAAATGGTCCACAATAGTCAGCATGAATCCTCTGCCAGGCCTCAGACGATACTGGCCATGGCACCCACTTCGAAGGATGATTTTTCAACTGATGACATTTCTCACAATTGTTTGCCGTACGACATATATCTGCATTTATCTCTGGCCACCAGCATGTGAGCCTTGCCAAGGACTTCATTTTCTCAACACCTAAATGACCACTATGAAGATCTTCAAGAACAGATTTACGCAATGAAGGAGGAATGACAACACGATCGTTTAAACACAGAATACCATCAGGAGTAGTAGATAACTCATCCCGCTTTGAAAAATAGATAGGAAATCTCCGTTTCAAATTAGCATTCCAACCTTTCCTTATAGCACTGAGTATACATCCAAAATATCTACGAGTTTCTCTAATGAGATCTGAACGTCTCACTGGTAAAGGTTGCACTAACAAACAATCCGAAGTATTAATAGGTTTATCTTGTAATGACTGTCGAGAAATGTAATCAACATGTTGAATCTGTTTGGCACTTCTGTGCTGAACCGTATAGTCATATGCACTCAAAGCAATACTCCATCGCTGAACCATAGCTGCTGAGGAACGTGCTAAGGATTTTTCGGGATGATAAATAAACTTTAAAGCTTCATGATCAGTAACAATAGTGAATTTCCTTCCGAATAAATATTTATGAAGTCTTTTAACAGCCCAAAACACAGCTAATGCTTCTCGCTGAGTCTGTGAATAACCTTGTTCAGTAACAGTAAGTTTGCGTGAAACACAAATAACTGGTCTACCTTCCTGTTCCAAAACTGCACCAATTCCCACAGGTGATGCATCAGTAATAAGCACAGAATGTACATTAGGGGAGTACGTTCGAAGAACAGCATCACTTTGAAGAAACTTCAGCAGACTTCGTAAGCATGACTCTTGTTCCTCACTCCATTTGAATGAATTTGATGTTAAAATATTAAATAAACAATTTGCACGACAAGAAAAATTAGGAATAAAACGGGAATAGTATTGAAGAGCACCCACTAGTGAACGTAATTCTGTAAGATTTTTCGGAGACGGTGCATTAGTCAGTGGAGCTAGTCGTTTCATATCTGGTCTAAAACCATTACCATCAACTAGGTATCCAAGGCATTCAAAACTAGATACACAAAATGAACACTTATTTGGATTCACTGTTATATTCTTCTCAATTAAACGTCGCAATAAAGCAATAAGTCTCTGGTCATGAACCACCTTATTAGAGCCATGAACAATGAGATCATCTTGATAAACTTCAACACCTTCAAGATCACTAACTACTTTATTCATAACTTCCTGAAATATGGCTGGAGAACAACTTAGACCAAATGGAAGGAAATTGTATTTGAACAGACCAAAAGGAGTGTTAATTGTCGTCAAAATAGATGAAGATTCATCTAAAGGAATTTGAAGATAAGCATCTTTTAGGTCAACTTTCGAGAACACTTTAGAACCATGAAGTCGATTTAGAATATCTTCAGCTTCTACCGTCGTGCACGTTTGCTTCAACAAACGGGAGTTCAGAGTTAATCTATAGTCACCGCAAATTCTAGGGGTCTTGCCGTCCGACTTCAGTGGCGTAACGATAGGAGTACCCCATGCTGAAGACTGGATTGGTTCAATTATGCCTTTCACACACAAATCGTTTAATGTCTTATGTACTGCTTCTCGAAGACCATAAGGAATTATTCGTCTTTTAAGAAAGACGGGATCACCCTGTACTTGAAGTTTTATAGGCTTAATTTTCATACCTCCACTGCATTTAGCACACATAGCTATCAAATCTTTAAGTAAAGTATCAGAATTTTCTTTAGAAACTAAGAAGGACAACTCCACCTTAAGCCTTTTCAAATTCTTTAAACCCAATATTGACAGTCCTGTTTCGCTAACTAAAAATTCACAAGGTATGTATGAAGAATTATCATCTCTGATTAGCAATTCACAACATCCTCGTATGGGCAGTCTGTGTCCAGTAATCCCCAGTATTGATACTTCAGTGGGTCGTACAACAACGTTAGGATCTAAAGCTTTCAAGTTCTTGAATGAAATAATGGACTCTATACTGCCTGTGTCCAGAATAAAGTCATGAAATGAACCAAGCGATGTATATAATCGCTTCTGAATATGAGCATTACCTTTCGAAATAGTGGACAAAGACAAATGATCACTAGAAACATCCGAATTATTGAAATTTAAATTACAAGATTTAGTACAGCTCGAAGCAAAATGGACAGTAGCTTTGCATACTGACTGAATGTGTCCTACCTTACCACATTTAAAACATTTAGCATTACGAAATACACATGAATTGCGAGCATGAAACTTTCCACATGATAAACATTTACCAAACTTCATCTCACCTTTGTGATTTGCTTTGTAATTCCTCGTTGAAACACCTTTCATATTTACACGAGAATAGGAATCACTGTTAAATGAACGCAAGTTTGATTGACCCTGAGATTGTAGTTCATCACGACGACTAAGCAAAGTATTAGAAATGTTCATCGACTGGATATCAAGTTCATTGACTGCTTCGTAGTTAATACATGCAGTTCTAGCATCTTGAAAGGAACAGTTTGGCATTCTTAACAGCTCTCTTTCCAAACTCGGTATGTTAATTCCTGCAATTAATCGATCTCTCAATTGCACATGAAGTTGATCACCGAAATTACACTTGGCAGCTTGTTTCTGTAATTCAAGGATGAATTCCCGAACCTTTTGGTCATTTTGACGAACCATCTTATGAAACTTCGCCCTTTCACGGCATTCAAAACTGGTGCATTTTACATGACTTAACAATAGCTCTTTAAGAGTTGCATAAGGCAGTGAGATAGGTTTTTCTGGATATGCCAAAGTTTTTAATAAGCTGTACGCTTCTCTCCCAATGAATGTCAGAAAATGTGCCACAATTTTCTCACCTTTAACATCTTTCTTGGTCATGCTCCAAATTTCGAACCTTTCCAAATAATCCTCAATAGCTTCAGGAGTTGAATGAATATCCAACTTTTCCATTGCAGGTTCCATCGCGACGCCAATATAGTATTCTAATTATAGTATGAATTAGGAATCCCAGGATTAACGCAATTGAATTAAGAAGACACAGGCACAACGAATGTACTGTATTTAGAATTCGAAATCGAGCATTCAACAAGTACAAAAGTATCATTGGTTCATTCAAACACCACATATTCTGCTCATTTGACTGTACTAATTTCAGTGAGTTTGTTATTTATTTGTTGGCTTATGTATATTGTAGTGTGTGTGAAAGTGTCCTCCTCAGAGCTGCAGGATTTCTGTAGCCACCAGCAATCACAGTATCAAAGATAGGGGGATTATTGGCTGTTCAGAAAACAAATTCAAGTGATCAGTGTCGAAGATTTTGGTTTACCTGAGTTGAACGATGATGACAACCTTTCGCGGTTTATATTGAACCTGAATCATGCTATAGTAATAACCAGGTGAATAAGCTTACAAAGTGAATGGCTAGACTGAGCAAAATCTATTGCCAACAGCAATTATATCATTATTCACTGGCAACAAAAGTACAACGTGGAACCACTGCTTTATGCGACTGTCTATAGCATACAATCATTTCTGACGCAGACGACATTCACCGAATGGCCTGATGATAAGTGTTCTGTCATCCAACGTAGAAATGGCTTCGCCTGACCGATGATTTGCCTAGTACCGGATGAAGCTACTTTGACCCAACAAGCGTAACGTGAAACAACGCAACTTCGTTATTTATACAACTGAAGAGTGATTATTTAAAACAAGATAATAATTGAAACATAGAAACTTGTCGTATGAATATTCCCATAAAGAACCTTTTTCTATAATTAAACATTGTTTGTTAAAACTATGGTACTTTGTTTATTTTTACCAGTTAGAGGTTGTCAATATTAGGTCGTTGTAACTGCAATCAGCCCATTTTCAATATGAACAATACTGATCACAAACAAAATTGTGACCTTCCTTGTAACTATAAAAACATAGGCGATACATTTTCAATTAGGGCAAGGTAATAAAACATTTTAATTGCTTTAAAATTATAATTTATTGTTTTCAAGAGACAGATGGAGGCTACTTAGAGATTGGATACTTCAATATAAATCTCACAGCTACAATCAACCAAGTATATATTCGAATATTGACAGAATATTTGGATATAGTCTCCTCAAAAGGTCGGCATCTTTTTCGTCTTGTATAATAGAGCAGGTAATTGTTCTGTTCAATTTTGTTTTCTGTTTACCCACAACCCAAACAACACAAAAAGGGGAAAAAAGGGGTAAATGCTATGGTAGCGAAAGGGGAAATATAGGGGAAAACGCGCCAGAATGTCGCCTTTTTCGCCTGTCCGGGGGAAATAATGCGGATTTTCCCCTTTTTCGCCTTTTTGTCGACAAATTACGGACTTATCGCCTAAATATCCGCTGAATTGTCGCATTTTCGCCTAAATATCCGCTGAATTGTCGCATTTTCGCCTAAATATCCGCTGAATTGTCGCATTTTCGCCTAAATATCCGCTGAATTGTCGCATTTTCGCCTAAATATCCGCTGAATTTTCGCATTTTCGCCTAAATATCCGCTGAATAGTCGCATTTTCGCCTAAATATCCGCCGAATTGCCTACTTATGCGCTTAATTGTCTACTTTTCGCATAAATACACACATTACCTACTATTTTCTATCCATCGACAGAACCCCAAAGGTCTCCTATGTTCGCCTTTATTTTCAACAACAGACCAAAATATATCTGCATGCAGTGGAAAAGTGGTAAATATTTCAAAAATTTTATTGAAAAAGAAAAGCGTATTATTGTACAACAGTAGAGCACAAGCTGAAGCATCGATTGTTATGCATATCCAATGCAATTGCTAATACATTGTTATTTGAAATTATCTGAAAAAGAACGAACAGGTTATAATGTATTCATAAGAAATGTGCATTTAATCAATAGTTCACTGAAACTCAAACACACATTCTCAACACTTCAACAGTTTCCCATGTACGTAAAAGAGTAAGCTGTTTGAATGAATAATGTTTATTGAAATCGAGGTACAACAATTAATTACCCAATCCTTTAGAATTTATGTATTCCACATTCATGAGCTTTTTTAGTTAGTTTACTGAATTACATGAGACTGACTGTAACTAATCTATCGATCAACTACGTTTTATGTGAGGATGTCATTCCATAATAATACCGTTTTAAGTTTGGGACTCCCTTATGATAACCTTAGTTGCTATTAATCTTGAAATAAACCATAATAAGAGGTAACTCTACATAACCAAATGTCATTCTAAGAGTTCGGGCTCTTTTGTTGCTCTGTATGCCAAAATAGGATAGGAGCAAAACTACCACTTTTGGATAATCTTAGATTTTGTTTCTTCGTTTAGAACTTCCTCATTGTGTGACATGCTTATAGGGAAGGATAATGTCATTCTACTTGACGCTTGTTCAGTTAATTATCAAGTAGGATTTTGCTGAGTTTAAGAGTAATTTGTTGATATGAAGGCACAAAAAGACCTACTCTCACTTAGCTGATATAGACAAACTCTTTTAGTGTTATGTAAGTCATAAAAACTTTAAATATTTTTCGACAATCATTGTTCATCATTTATTAAGACAAAGCAGTTGAATTGAAGAGGCACTTCCAAGTAAACTATGTCATTCAACAAATACACTTGAGACTAATTGTTTTATATTCCCTTTGAATACTAGTTTGGCTTAAACAGAACGAATATGAATAAACAAAAAGAGTATTTTGTTCAACGTTAGAAAAATATAACCATTGTCTGTATTAATTTTACTTTATCTTAGGCTTTTTTCCTTTATGCAGGTTCTTTACTTACCTAGAGAAAATGAGCGGATTGCAATTAAAACACCCTCGAGCATCAAATTTTACGATCTGAAAGAATTTAAACTAATGAACGAAGTACCTTTGACGGAAAACAAAAATAGTATGTATTGTTTTGTATATCAGTCTAAGGATGAACGCTATTTTCTTTTCCTTATGACTTTAAAAATGAAAACCAACAAATAGACTGGGGAATTTTTTATTTCATGAGGACAAAATTTTTGGTACAAAAATGTAACCATTGAAACATGTCATTCAAAAAGCTTTACGAACTTACTAGAAAGACATAAGTTGAAAGGAGAGATAATTAGAAAGTAGTATTATATCTTTAAGTCTTTACCTATCAGTAATGTCAGACTCACTAAGTGGTTAACATTAAAGTAATCGTTGAGCTATTAAAACCTTAACATTTATAACAAAACTTTTTCCCTTTTAAATTATGATTTTACTTGTTTGCCAAATTATTCAATGAAACTTTGTCAGTTATTCTCGGTTGTGTCACAAAATTCTAGTACCGTGGACAAATCAGGCTTATGCTAAACGGTAAACGTTCGCTAACAGGCAAGATTTTAGTTCTTTTTCTATGGAATGAGAAACGCCATCAGTTGAAAATGAGCTTTTATTTTCTAAAGTAAGAAGACGTACATCTTCGAATTAATGTACCGATATTTCTTGATTCTGCTTCGGTCAATAAATTTTTACTCTCTTCTTGCTCAAGTCGCTAGTTTTGGCTTGCGTACAGAAAACTTGCATATCACTATCAATTTCGGATATCACACAATACATCAGATGTATCTTAATTAAAAAAAAGCACATTTTCTTTCACCCCACAATCTTTAGTACAGTTGGTTAAAGATTAGTAATCCTCAACCAATCGTTTTAGCTTTCTGCAATAATAATTCTTATATGCTACTAATTTACCTTTTGATGTAATTGGTTAAAACATTTTTTTCGTTTGTTTAAAAGATTTTTCATTGCATAGCGGATATCAGATAAGAGACGTTTTAAAACAAAAAGCCTTGGGTGTCAGTTAATGATGAAAAATGCATTCAAGATATGCAAAAAATTTCGAAAAATCATGTGTTAACTAATGACTATGCTTTCATAGGTTTCCTTGGATCTTTAGTGGGAGGAAGTGTCTTTCGTGTCCACCAGGTTGATAGTTTTATGAAATTCGAAAAAGTGAGTAAGAATAGCGGTAAGACTATAACTTATTAACGACCTTTGAGTGATGTTAAGGTGACCTTGAGACAATTCACCCACTTACCAGTGGCATAAGAAAGCAATAAGTTAATATGAGGAGTTAGGATTACGATTTGGAATTGGAATTTAAAGTTATGAATTAAAGTAAAGGTTTTCATCATGAATTAACATCAGCTTTAATGCCAAAATGCCATTTAGCTATATAGATGAATGAATTCTGCCCCCAAATCCAAGACATACTGTCTTTAATTCCATTGTTCCGTTCATAAACTATAGTCTCGCCAGAATAGCACTATTGTGTAACGTAAATCAATGAGTCCCAAACTAGCGGTTTCGAAATGTTATGCTTTTTGCGAGAGCCGAGGTGAATAGGCTTGATCCTTCAGGTGGTGACACTGCCAAGTGGTTCCAAAAATACAAGCAGCAATTAGTTTACTTTGTATCCTGTTTAGTTACATTAAGTAACTATCAGCACAATAAGGTCGGTGTTGCGATAAATTCTCCTTTGGTCTAAATTTTAATCGCATAAACAAAACATATACTTGAAATTAATTAAAACAATGGCTGCAAAGCATTAATCTCTAACCAAATGGATATTGGCTCGTTCAGCTGCTTCGTCACATAAAATATTAATCCTAGATAAAGTGCTGTAAAGAATTAGTGTTGTATTTTACGTGCGAAAATTCCGAGAAAATCACTCGGATGTGAATAAGCGTATACCGATCGCTGTGATATATTCTCAGTTTTAAAATTTTTGATGTTACCTTACGTTTAAACATTTTTATGTAAGTGCGATGAAAAACGCGAAAAACCAGGAAGTTACATCACTGAACTATTCTCTTATAACAAAAGAACAGTTAATAATCCTATGGTTTCAAATGGTTCCGAATCCAAAGTAGAAATGATCGTCCGTGTAAAAATCCCTCAATAAAACTGTCAAACTGAATGAACTTTTTATCTGTTAACTAAAATACATATTGGAATTATTTGGATATGGTGGTTTGGCAAGTACAATAACTTAATTTAATAGTCCATTAAATTTCCAGATGGTAAAGTAAATTAATAATATTTTATTTCATTACATGTTCTTACGTTTTAAATTGTTTGTTCTAAATTCATCGTCAGAAAATGCTTTTAGTCAAAGTTATAACCGTTTAGCCTATGCATCAAAAGTGGACGTTTTCATTGGTTGGAAACCTGGTGGAAATACGTTATGGCCTTTATCATGTGAAAATCTTGAGGTGAGACATTTAAACTAAATGGCAACCAAATCTCATCACATTTTTACTTTTCTCCGTATTGATTGTATCAATGTCTTTTTTGCAGTTAAAATCTTACAATAGAAAACAAAGAATGAATGTATTCTTTAAACGCTCAAGTAAAGAAATTCTGCACAAAAATATCTGTTGTCAAATAAATACATACGCTATATGTTCCTCAATATTCTCTAACGTGATCTAAGTATTCTTGTAACCGACCCCCCCATTCAATTCGTTTATTTGAATTCAAAAGAAAGACTTGTTTTTCACGAAGAGAAGGTACTGCACCACGGGAAGTCAGACAGTGGGAAAATAAAAAGTGAGAGGTGCTGACAAATGCACGTTCTTGTTCAGGATTCGGCTCCGTTTTATGGAGGACATGTATCCATATTTATGAATGAGATGTGCTTATTGCCCTCGATTCGGCTAGCCAATAATAGGCTATTACTTTTGATGGTAGACCAAACCATCCAGCTCAGAGAACAAAACTCCATTAAAATCATCCAACTGAGCTACAAAACTTCTCCACCATCTCAAGGTTATTACTTACAGTTGGTTTTCTCACTGATGCAATTGGTTTGTGCACGCATTTAGGAAGCCTGTGAATATCAACATCAGACTCAGATAACCACAGAACGTAACATTTTGCAACCGTGAACTTGGATACCAGCTAAAAATTGTTACTTTTCTTATGCAACTCCTTACGCAACTCCTTCACTGCATTTCGTTGTGTTAGTATGACGGTTGCTTGGCACTTGCCATTATAGATTACGATAAACTGAATAAGTTTTATATCAGCAGCTGGTTATCCGGATGATAATTCACCATTTATAAGTCATATTGCTTTTAACGGTGGATATTACTTCACCTGAGCTGAACTTTTATATAACTTTGAAAGGATTATGATTCTTCGAACATCTGAATTATTAGAGGTCATTTCAAACGAGCAAATTTACCATTTAGGGCTAGATCAGAACTCACTTTGAATAAATAACCAAGTTTCTTATTGCCATTCTAAATTTTCAACGCTATTCGATACGTCTGTGGTTGCAACAGTATAGTCGACAAAGACGGCAATTCGTTTTTACTCACAGATCGCACGTAATCGAATATATCGTTCACTGGAAATAAGTAAATACGTAGTGAACGAGAACACCAGTGGGGACGAGTAAATGTATCTTGGCACAAAAAATCTGAGAACCATACAATAAATACCTCATTTGCAATATATCAACCAATCGTTCCAGACTTCATTGTTCCTCGTTTCCACAGCAATTATTCTCTGTTCTCGTTTTCTTTTCTCCGATCTTCTTAACATTTTGCCGCCAGACATTTCACTTTAGATTGGTGATGCCCACTACTTATATCTGTTGACATCATTAACACACACCACAAATAAACTTGAATATGAGCTAAGCTCTAAGGAAAAAGGCTAAATTACTTTCTGTTGATCAACACTACTAAGGGTCCGCAAAACATGATATTCAGAATTCTGAAAATTTCAGTAGCTAACCTTAGTTATATATGTAAATTTTCCTGACGCTATATGAGGCTTTCAAATCTTTGACGGGAAGTGATTAAATTAGATCGGTGATGCAACAGTTTCTCGAATTCAGACGTCTATTTATATTGAAATTCAGTCTAAATAACGTTATCTTGGTACTGAACAGATCAGCCTAAATCATTCAATCATTCTGTTACTGTACTTCAGTGTTATTTGAATACGGATAAATATAACTATAAATTTGGCAATCACTTACTTGGTATCAGGGTAAATTTTGTCCCTTAACATTACTTTCGGTTGGTGATACATTCAGTTCTTGTGGAATTATTTGTCATTCATCATTATTATAAATTCCTCGTTAAAACGTTTTTCAATACTATCGTATCATCTCACCAATTTATTTTTCAGAATATTGGCATCCCATCTACAACTAAAAATCAGTTGATTGGTGTATTTTCAAATTTTGATTCAGGAAGCATATTTTCGTTGGAAATAAGATCGTTTAAAACATTTTCGAATGACTATTGTTGGATTATATTTGCAAGAAACTGGCAGTTTCAGTTTACTGAAATTCAACTTATACCTAATAAATGTGTACCAGTTTTGATACTTAAGGATTGTACCTCATTTAGTTTTCCAACTTGTCAAGAAGAATTATTTACAAAAATCATGACATGTCCTCTACTTGGAACTCTTCTTGAAACTTATGAATTTCCATCAGAATTAATCAGTTTCGAAGAGAAATGTAGTCATAACTGTAAACTTTTAATTGCTTGGAAATGTTCTGCTTGGTTACGTTGTATGCAATTTAACAGATATTTCAGTTCCATATCCCACAATAGTGATTGTGATGAGACTGATGGAAAACTATTAGAAACGATCAATTTTCAAACCTTTGAAAATGCTATGATCAACCACAGATCACAAATTACGGCTGTTCTTTACATTAGCTCATTAAATATTTTAATTACTGGTGATAGATGTGGAACAATTAAAGTATGTATTTTACAAAATGTGGCATATATTTTAAAGTTGATTAACCAAACGAAAAACGCAATGATTCATTTCAGTTGTTTGCTAGAACTAACTAATTCAAAGTATCAGCGCTCGATACAAATATTGAGAACTTACTGTTTTATAACGGTAAAAATAAATACCGTTTTTCGATACAAAATACGAGATAATAGATACTATTCTACCGCTGGGACACTAGCTACTTAATAATACACTGGGTTACTGAACTACCACAGTGAAACCAATCTATTACATATGACAATAGTCTACATAGTAATCACAGACTTGATATGTTCTTTTTTGCTCATTAACTAATCATAGCTTAAATCACAATAAGATTTATTTACCTAGACGTAAATTGAAGTTACATTCAGATAGCTCATGATACTTCGCAAATAACAATGGAATGATTTCCCTTTGTCTGCTTTCTGTAAGCTCTTCGTAGGTATCGTTAATCTGTAAAATATAATTTGATCAAGGATCGATTGTGAAAATAATTGAGAGATAGATAAATGTGACTATTTGTACAAATAAGTAAGAAGGCAAAACATACAACTAAAGTACTGAAAACAATTGACTAAAAAATATTATGCCAGCTCAGTGGTCTAGAGGTCAAACGTTCACACACGGAACCGAAGGTCCTGGGTTGGATTCCTGGATGCACATTGCTGATTAGTCCTATAGTAGGATGATATGCCCATCCAGTGTTTTCAGCTTTTCAATGGTGGTCTAACTTAGACTAATTTTTGGTTTCAATAAGATTCAACAACCCCTACACCTTCATACTGAATATAATATTCATCACAACCAAAATGGTAACATCATAAATTTCTTGTTTCGTTTTAGACTTGTCATTAGCATGAATATATTTCATTATTAATATATGTATTGCGATGGTTTTCTCTATGCTAAAGCTAACTGTTAATTTTCCCGGTTATATGGCTCACTTCAAATAATTTCAGTGATAATTTGTAAAGTGGTAGTGAGCTATAATTTTGATGAGAACTAAAATTTATTGAAGCGTAACTGCATCTAATTAGTTAATCACGATTCAAATAGGAAATGTCGTTAACAGTTCACCATTAGTTACCAGCAAATGTAACTAGAACAAATCTCTATACTGATTTATCTATGTAAATTTTGTCACGATACATCCCAGATTCAAAAAGTTACCAGAGCTACGAATCGATCAAACGTAGCAGATTAAATCTTACGTTGATCACCCACTGACCCAATAACCCAGCAATAATCTCTACTGTAAAATGTCTCAATACACTTCATATACGTATCTTCTTTCCCCTCTGCATCTTTATAACTCCAATTTATCCTAACACGGGAGTTTTGTGGAAGTCATTTAATCTGAATGTGGTTTACAACGGAAACTGACTAATTAGATAACCATCGAAAATCAGTGAACATCGGATAGCTATGTCGTCTTAGTTGGATTAGTGATCATCCAAAATCTCATTAAGAACTGGACCCAAGAACTTCAGGCCTCAAGGCGAGGAGATTTTATATATATACAGACCACTTACTACGGACGACAAATTATGAATGACCTATACCTATGTAATATATGTTAAATGAAATGAATATCTGGAAATTGAGTAGAGGAAAATCGTTATAATCACCGAATACATCCTTTTCTAGTTCTAGTATGAAGTCATTAGAACCTTGTTTTACTAAACTGTTAAAATATGAAGATTCAGGTCAACTAGACTAAGTGTATATATTGAATGCTATGAAACAATGTAAAAGGTGTCAAATTACCGTTGATATGTCTTTGAAATTTTACTGAAAACCCAGGAATCAGGCAATATTAAACATTTACATTTTGGTCAAATGGTAACTAGACAAATAAATTCACTAAACGTTTTCATTTTCAGACATGGAATACTGACCAAGTTCAATTAACAGTACTTCATGGTCACTTGGGAGAAATTATTCATTTTTCATCACATAGGTGGGATTTAATTAGACCACAAAAATTTTATTCCACGTCTCCAAGTTTTGTTTCTATAAGTAAGGATGGATTGATGAAATGTTGGCAGTTCTGGCAATCAGACTATGTATATCTGAAAAATGATGGTTCTGAATTTTCAAACCCGTCAAGAATTGTATCAGATAATGGAACTAAGGAGAATACCATCAAAGAAGTAGATAGTAGACAGACACTAATGAATTTGTATTCAAAGGTTCTGTCTACAAAGACTTCAGCATCACACTCAGTACACACTATCCATGACATTACAGTGAAAAGAGACACTGGTGAACTTTTTTTAGTTGGAGTATATGAAGACATCAATTCATGTAAGATTCATAAGGAACTCCAACAGGAGTATTACTTGGAACACTGGACAATATCTGAGGTAATACAAATTTAGATTTGCCTATATTTTCACTGGTTTAGTTATTGTTGCTCTGTAAATATATAATTGCTACAGATCCTCAAATAAAACCATCAAACACTTTTCATAAATACTCATTATATGTGGAAATTTTATTTGAAATAATCTCAGCGATTGAAATTTAAATAATTCATTCAGCAAGCTTGTCTGGACTTCTTCATTCACTGATGTAAAAATAAACTCATTTTGCTTTATTGAAAGATTAAGGTCTATTTATTTAATTTCTAAAATGTTTTGTACAACCAGTAATTTAAAAATGAACTTTACCATGAGCCGATGTCAAATTAAGAAATATTAAAAAACGGGAAGTGTTGTGCTGATGTTTGATTCTATTTTGAGTCTCTAAAGTAATGCTTGCCCACAATTGTACACCATCTTATACTCACAGCCTTCAAGATATCTGAACAAGCATGATCTCTTTTGATCATTAACTCGGAATCCGTTTGTTCGCATTCTTAACTTTAGTCAGTTTATTTAAAACTTTGGAGGTATTTTCGGTAAAACGTCATATTTCATCTATCAGATCAATTATTTTATCATATTAATTAACCTTGTTTGTAACTTAAAACTCACACTAAATCAATAACTTTTAAGTGCATAATCAAACCTTTACGAGACACCACTGTTTGCTTGTTAGATTAAAAAGACCTTATTAAATCAAGCAATTCCTCTTGAGTTTGATGAATAGTCATAATATTATCTTATTTCAGATTTATATTCAACAAAATAAATGAAGAGTATATTTGTTTCAATTTATAACAAGTTGGGATTTGTCATTTCATGTTTATTTGGAGTGAATGTTTATAAAACAAATAATTTAACGAAGGATTCCTTCTCATTAAGCTTAATTTCAAAGCTACATAATAGTATGCATATTTACATGATAGATTATTGGTTAGTGAATAATGTGTTTGTTAAAATATAGAATTTATTTAAATTTACCATTTTATTCCTTTGTTTCGCATTATTGGACAGCCTTGTTCACCAATGGCCGAATTTCCACAAACAGTTAAAAATATTTCGTTTATAAGATTGAATGATTTATATGATATTGTTAATCCAAAAGCCAACAAATCATCTAATCTGGCTGAATATCAAAATGATAATTCGATTAATATAGCAGTTGTTATATGTGAAGGAAAACCTGGAAGTGTACATTTACTTTCCACGTTGGATGGATCCATTTTAACAACAGCTGTATGTGAAGATACAGTTGAAGATGCTACTTGGCATTGGATGTTAGAAAAATTGTTTATTTTACAAAGCGTAAGTCCATTATGTAGTTTCTTTCCCCGAGGTATATATTAAAGATATTCATACTTAAAGTATAAATAATGTTATTATTAATGGAGAACAGAACTGTAGTCCATAAATGCATGAATTTTTCAGTTCTCCATACATCTAAGACATCTACCCTTTTTGTATCGTGAATTATTTCGATTACCCTGATGGTAATTCGTGTTAATGTCTAACCTCAACCAATTCACGAAGTTGCGCAATGCTCTATGCTACTTAGATTTGAACTAATCAGATTACAAAGATCCACGGTTTACAGTCAATTAACAAATTATTACAGACGATAAAATGTTTCAACAGTTGAGATTATGAGTCAATTGAAGCTAGATCACCATGGAAAACCTGGAAGCACTGGACGGCCGTTTCGTCCTATCGTGGGACTCCTCAGTGGTGCGCATCCACGACCCCGCCAAGCGCTTAACCAACTAGACCAGTGAGCCGGCATACGACGGCATTAATGTCTAACTTCAACTAATCCACGAAATTGAGCGACACATCCACCATTGTCATCACAACTGACCCGGTTGAACTCCACTGGTTATTGCTTCTCATTAGAATGTTTGTTCATTATCACATGAGCACACACTTTCAAAAACAAGTTCATCAATCATCTATTTCAAAAATTTTCTAATCACACCCTAAAATGTCTTATCAACAGGGGGATGAGAAATCACAACCACCGTGCACTAATTTTCAGCGCCATAACTTATTGATTATAATCATCTACAGCTAGAGGAAATACAGCGGAAACAGAGAGCATGGAATAACAAAAGCAATAGCCACCTTGATAGGTCAGTTCGTCAGGTCTACCATAATACATGTCCCAGGTTATTTTATGGTTTACTGTGCGTTCTAGATATTATTCAGGTTAGTTAAGGTTACCAGTGACGGTGTTAATGTAAAGTATCTGTAGGTAGGGAGGTTTCATTAGTAGGCTCAGTAATAAAAACGAATAGACATTTAAAGTTCCTGTAATCTCACTAGTGGACTGGGATACACTTACAGGTGTAAGCACATTCGAGGCCATTTTAAAGGAGCGTTGCTTCCTCTACTGGATTAGGCAGAATAAGATATACAACTAGCGACACTCGAACGAGTAGAACCCCAGAGTCGCAAATCAAAAGACAGAAGAAGCTGTGAAAGTGAATGCTGCCAATCCGTAGGGAGGCAAGTTATGCTGTTGTCCATTCGTAACATTCCACATTGATATTCTAGAAAGCTCTATCAGGTCCTGGTTGGATAGAATCTCTTCGGCTCCTTTAGAGCCTCTGGAGGCTTCGTCGTGTTTCCCGAAGCCGTCCCAACACAGAGAAGTAAGCATCGATGCAGCTAACAACGGATGGGAGTGATTTTATTTCATGGGTAGATTGTGGTAAGTTATTCCTGTCTCAAAAAGTTTTTGGTGAAATAATTCATGTAAAAAGCGGATTTAGAATGAGGTTGTTTTACTGACAAGGAGTTACGAATGCTAAAACTAGGAGTTTCTGAGTGTTAAATTGTTTCATTGATTGGAAAGGATAGCTTTTGTTATGTTATTCTAAAAAAGTTGATTATTGGTCATTTGTCTTACTACTACAGATCTGACAGTTTATAACATCTGGAAGAATACAACGTAACCAAATACATCCTTGGATAAATTGGGACGGAATATTCTAGTCCCTGTTCTTATTGGCTCGAACGTACATATGAATATGATTTTGGTATAGATGTTAAGAAAATTAATTTCGTCTTCAGTGTAATTCTACTTGATTAAAAAAACAATTATTATGGTTCTCAGTAGATAACTTTTTGTTAAACCATTGAAAATCTAAGTAAACTACATTATTGTTCCGATGAAGATTGTAAAAACGTATCATCTTAGTGTCTCGAACTAAGGGAGAATGTTTTACAAGTAACATGTAGTTTTTTTGTCACTTTATAAATTCGTCATTAAATTCACTGGTTTGTTTGACACAGTCTCAAAACATTATCTGATCTTTACTATAAAATTCACCCAAAAACTTGTTTTCCTCTTCGATTTAGTACATTTGGGCAATTAAATGAATATGGGTGGAAAAGCAATTCAAATTCCATAATCTATGTTCACCATATTGATTGTGAATCAATCACCTACATTTAGTTTATTTACCTCGAACTTATTACATTTTATTAACACTTTCAGAACGGAGACATCGCTGTATTTTCCACTTGTAGTCGACCATGTAACCTACTTTCTATATGGTCATCATCTGACCATGATGTGTTTTACCGTGGTCCACTCCTACTTTACCCAGTACATTGCCCAGATTACTTCAAGCTATTTTTAGAAGATGACAAATCCAGCGATTGTTTGCCACCGGTTATTTTGTTACTGTTGGTTGGTCAGTCCGATGGATCTTTAGCTGTATTATGTACTAAAGAAGGAGTCGTAATGAGCACAGCTCCAAAGTATTCAACGACCGAATCTTCAAGTAAGTAACTGCTTTTGCTTTATTGAACTATTTGATCACCTTCAACTTATGACGTCATTTAGACCACGCTGTATGAGATAGAAATCAGAATCGCATGTTTAAAAATAGGTTTCTACCTTGGCACGAATAAATTGACATTTAAATAGCTATTAAAGAATACTAATACGCAAAACTAATGTAACTAAGAATCGGTTCCAATCAAATAAGACAATGAATTAAAATTTCCCGAATATGATATGGATGATATTTCACCAACAAAATGACCTTGTGACAATCCGTAAACATCGTGATATTTTACTTGGACAGCTTGATCATTAACTTGCCTTTCTGTCTTTCAGACATCTTTATTCATTGAATGGATCTTTAAGGATCCATGTTGGAATTTAAATGAACCAAATATAATTATAAGTGAGTAAATGGATAAATATTAACATCAATCCAAATAATAACGCATGAGATTTGATTAATACTTTTTATTTTTAATGGCCGTTCTGTAACTACCTACTGAAATCGACTTTTAAAGTAGTTAGAAATACACCCATCAAATGATTGAAAGTTTCTCATTTCAGGTATATTACTCAGAAATTTAAATTCATCGTTATTCTATTTCAACTAAACAGCGCAACTGACCTTAGAATACGGTTAGTTTAACTGGTCAGAAGCTTATGGAAAATAGTAATTTGTTTCCGAAGAAAAACATATTATTGTGTCAAATGTTATATTACTTGAAGTTTGTAAGTAACCCGACTATGTATCTCTACTTTTAAATAACATCACCGGAACAAAATTTGAATAAAAATGGGCTCCAGCTGAAAGAAACTGCATCAGGTAAAAGGGCTACACTATTCATTTGCACGAACACCAATTCATTGTCAAACTTCACAACATATCTTCGCTTACATCAGTTCTGATGATGTCTATAAGGACGATGAAGGCTTCATGACTAGACTATTCTACTTAGAAAACTCGTCACCACCAAAATTTATTCTGTTCATGGTCCTGCATAGAAACTAGGATGTATGTTGATAAACAGTTCAAAACCAAGGCAAAATAATTGTCAAAATCTGGACTTTCATTTGTTTTCTAAATGACAGACCCATCACTCATGTAAGTTAATAACTCATTTTTGTTTACTTTGCAAATCAGATAATCCTCCAGAAGTTGATCAGAAACAACATATATCGTCAATTAGATCAAATCCGATATTCGGGAGATTATACATTATCACCTTAGATGGAACATTAAAAGTATGGCAATTGATTACACCTTTACCAATCGGTGTGCAAATACAAAAACAGGACATTTTTCAAAGGAATAAACCAAATTTACGTGCATATTTCACACGTTTCCCATTTAAAATTATTAATAATACTGACATCTATTGCATTTATACAGCTAAGAATTATTCATTTCCCAAAGTAAAGGAAACTGATATTAATTGTGTAACTAATTCTTGTTGTTACAATGTAGTCTGTGCTGAAGTGGCCAATCCAGGTGATACTTATTCTATGTTCAATTTCATAACATCACGTTATTTTGATTCAGCTTATTTAAATCATGAGAATACAGCTTTGGTTAAAGATATTTGTATTGGCTTAACAAATATAAGCATGTTAAACAAACGTTTTGAAAAATCACCCATGATTGAACAAATATTTCTAACAGTAACTACTGATCCTGTTGAACGAGAAAACCTTTATTTAAAAGTATGGCAAACAACATTTGATTACAATATGGGAAATGATTATCATGTCAGAAACTCTAACAGTTTGAAACGAACATCTACAAAAGCATTACAACGTCTACAAATGTTAGTTGATAGTGGAGACACTAATATCGTCTGTTTAAAATGTAATCTACAGTTGATAAATACACTTAGATTACCATTTCCAACCGGACCAAGAATCTCTAAAGCTGTTTGTAGAATCGTCGGTATTCAATTAAATGGTGATATTTTATTGACAATCAATAATAGTGTATATTTACTTCACTATAAAACATTGAATAAGTATTTTAAATTAAGATCTTATTTATTAAATTTAATGAATCAATCTACTGAAAATAAGATGATTCCAGAAATATTACAAAACGTAATAAGAAGTAGAGAATGGAATGTAGATGGATTAAAGAAAATGAATGATGTAACTTTGTCTTTGGTAAGTTTTTTCTATTGCTAATGAGTGTTCAATATATGTTACTGATGATTCATTCAAAGACTGGCTACATTTTGTTTTGTTTAACTTCTGACTTATATAAAAAGGCATTTGGTAGGGCAATATTCACTTTAAATGCAATCTGACATCAATTATACAAGCTGCAAGTTAAAGTTAGCATTATCTTCTGAAGCTAAACTCGTTGTGAAATGTTCTACTATTTGACAGTTCAATATTAGGAAATCGAATACGAGATTTTATAGAACAGTTTATTTTCGACATAAACAAGCAGTTGATCAAACTCGTAACTGGTAACGCAGTGTGCAAATATGCAAACTACATGACAAAAAAATCATTGAATAGATTATTCACGAGTCCATTTGAATGTTTGAGCTTTCATGAAATCCCACTCTAATACAGACTAGTCAGAAGAGTTTATGCAACCTTTAAGAGTTTAAAAAATACTCAAGGTATACAGAATGAGATTACTACAAATTTTACTGAGTTATATTTCTTGAATGGCATGAATCGAAATTGATTCCAGTTGGATAGGTATATTCATTCTCCATCTTCCTCCAAAATATTGAGTTGAATATCTTTACCAAGTTTTGATACCTCATTTTCATTCTTACTTTAAAGTTAGATTTCATGTGTTCAAATTTTACTGTTATTAAGAATAATTCTTATTGTTTTGTTATTCTACAGATCGTTCCGATTACCATATACACTTACTAGCATATACCAACCCCAAACTCAATGACTTATTTTTTATCGTAATCTATGTGTGACTTTCACATATTGCACTGAATTTCTGTGTAAGACTAACACTAACAATTTATGATCAGAATGGGGGTTTGTGGAGATTAAGGTAATCGTATTATTTGAATTCATGAGTCGATGTAAATACTATTGGATGTCGGCTCAGTGGTCTAAAACTTAGGCGTTTGCGTGCGACACCGAAGGTCCTGGGTTCGAGTTCCGTATGCAGGATCGTGGATGGGCACTGCTGAGGAGTCCCGTACTAAGACGAAACAGCAATCCAGTGCTTCCAGGTCTTCGATGGTGGTCTAACACTGATATATTCATGAATTCAATTACTAAGGTTACTAACAATTTTTTAATATATTATTTTTTCATGTTTTAAATTCAATCTCATTATGTCACCAATGAGAGTTTTAATCACCCTTAACTGAAGTTAAACCACAACTAATAGACATCAGTTTCATAAAACATCGAGTTTATAACAAAATGGTAATTGTAAGTATACTTCAAAAGACACGTTAGATTTAGATGGTGGTTGGAGGCAGTCAACAGGAAACCCTCGACCCGGGTTTCGTGCTACTTGGCACTCGTCAGCAAGGTGTACCTGTAATCTTGAGGGAACTGGTGCTCCCTGGCGGATTCGATCTCGTATCACCCAGCTTCACCACCCAGTGATCAATCAATTGTGATTACATCTCAGTCCTACAGGAGGTTAGTCATGGCTCGGATAGCTCAGTGGTAACGTCTCTGACTGTGAAGCTGGGTGACACGAGATCGAATCCGCCAGGGAGCACGAGTTCCCTCAAGATTACAGGTACACCTTGCTGACGAGTGCCAAGTAGCACGAAACCCGGGTTCAGGGTTTCCTGTTGACTACCTCCAACCACCATCTAAATCTCAATACATAGTGCCCGCAGTGTCGAGTCACGTAGACTGGTGGCCACATTGCAACATGATCGATAGCATTCGATCTGCACTGATAAGGACTAGACAAGCATGACATTGATCGTCACCCAGTGATCAATCAATTGTGACACGTTAGATTTAATTGATCTCCCTAATAACGTTGATATTATGAAAGAGTTTATGGAGTCTTTTAGTGTTAACTCTCTTCTTATTGATGTACTTTTTATTATTTCTGTTGATTTCCTCTGTTACAGTGTATCGGGTAATTTTCCTCTTTGTTTGAACTGAGCCAATACGATTGAAAAAACCACTATCATTATGTATTGACAAAGTTCATTTTTAAGGTGAACATTTTAGACGAGTTGATGATATTGTTATGCCCACTACCTTGGGACCTCTCTTAGCACATGTACATGTTAAATTATTGAAAATATGACAACTGAGCCGATCAGCCAAGTAAACCTCATATAGGAGGTACATGGATGATATGCTAGTCATATTTGATAGGTATTTCTGTGTGATTTGATAATCAAATAGACGCAATAACGTACAGAATCACATTCTACTTATTTATAAAGAAGAAAATAATAACTGATTGCCATTTTAAAATGTACTTTTGAACCAAAGGAGGATAGAACTGTAAAACCATCAGTTTATGTAAAGCCAACCTGGACTGGGCAATATCTTAACTTTCGCAGTTTCTGTTCGTCTGAATACGATTGACGGCTGGTAAGGTTCTATTCCAATAGAATTTAGTGATTATTCACTGCAGATACGTTTGAAGAAAATATAGAACTCCAGACTGAGACATTGATATTGGCCGGATGTCTGTTGAAGGTTATAGATCTGTGTTAAAGTAAGTTAACATCAAAACCACTTCCTAATTCTATCCCAAAGAAAAGACTATATCATTTTAATATTTAGAGGAATCTCAGATAGAATAATTTTGAGACAGATTAGAAGTAGCCATCGAGAAAATATTTTATACTGATAAATTAACTGTTCTTAGAGAAACAATGCTCAGGGATCCACACACACCAAAGTATAACATAAAATGACATGTCGTAATCCACTGCATTTATATAGAAACGAATACATAGTGAGGAGCAACTGAATAATGCAATCTAGAGTTATGGAACAATTGCTTAAATGGCTTCAAAATTAGTTATTATCAAATGCTCTGATAAACGTAAGTAGTAGAAAACTATGTTCTCCAGTAGCAAAGCAAACAACTGAAACAAGCTATAGAATTCACCTTAATACATGCTCTATAGTATTATATAGAAATCGTTAATAACAAAAAAGTTTTAGCTATTAAGTATTCTGAATCTTACTTACGTGTACGAAACTGATTTGTTATAACCTTGATTTTGCATTGATAATCTTTAGTCAATGTGCGAACCGATGTGATATGATAATTTTTTTCTATATTTTGTTAACTTTTCTCTTTTATATTTCTAATTATCACTTCATGCTTATTACACCTTTTATTCAATTAAAGTTTATTACTGTTCACATAAAATTTCTTGACAAGTATATGTAGTGTCAAATTGTTCTAAAAGTGTGGCTCAACCACATCATGTATTAGTGATCAACTCGATCTTCTCATTACCGATTGCTTTATACCGAATATAATAAAATATTATTGCCTGTTTAACTAAAATTTTAAATACGGTTACCTGTCATCTACGTTTACTACTACTACGACTACTACGACTAGTACAACTAGTACGACTACTACGACTAGTACGACTAGTACGACTAGTAAGACTACTACGACTAGTACGACTACTACGACTACAAATGTATATTTATCATCGTCAATATGAAGAAAAATCCTTATTTCATATGACGTATGACAGGTGTTCACAGGTGTCACAAGACGGCAAAATGAGATTTATAATAAAGTAGCCAGACTGATTTTTCATTTTCCAGCTGATCTATCATTAATCTTTATTCATAAATATCTTAGGGTAATAGATAAATTCTGTATGACGTCATTTTCGACATTATCATGACGACAAAATCCCTGACATATAATCATTCGAATATGAACCCTGCTGTAGAATTTTAAATCAAAATGAAGCTTATGTGGCCAGCTGTTGTGACCCCGATTTAGATGAATGTACGAATATGCTATGAACACAAATCTTCCATTTAATTTCGTATACTAACTAGGCTAATCCCGTGTGTGACAGCCGAATGTGGATTGCGTTGAAGGGATTTATTTCAAGCATTCGTTTATTCAGACAGGTGTTCAGGATAAGAAGCGGAAAAGGAAAAGTCAACTCCGTTTTGATAAAGGGTGGCTCAATATTTATAGTTAGACAAAAATAGGCTACAGATATGTAATGAGTTGGTTGATCAATTCACACACATACGCTCATATAAAAACAGTCAAGGTTAATAAGCGAATAATTGATAATGTCAGAATGTGACTCAAAAAGAAGGAATAAAATGGTCTGTTCAGAAGCTAGAATAACCTGTGTGGACTTGAAATAATATCAGACACTACAAAGCTCCCATACAGTTTGAAGTCCTTAATTTCGAACTGGTCCTTTTATAGGTGTCATTTTATGAAGATAATCACTTTTAAATATATGTATTTCTAAGGCAGATGGTCAGCATTCTCGATATATTTAATAAGCATGGATAGAATTTTAAAATGACAACGTCCTGATTGTTTAAAATATGTATAATGGTAAAAATATAGATATATGAACAAAGCATATTCCTTCCAATTAATCCTCTTCAGGTTACATAAACGTAAATCCAAGTTAATGTTAAAAAGAGATAACCAAGTCAAAGACATATAAATCCACAAAATATACACAATATATACTATTTCAAGATTGTTACCGAAGTATTATATAATTATGAATGCTTAAATGTAAAGTATGCAGTGTTAACTTGTATACATTTATGTGATTTGAAATCGCGAGATTAACAATCAGTATAAATATAGATAATATAGAATGAGGGTTACACTAATGATTATGTTATTCAAATCAAATGTTCGTTCGAAGACTATTTAACCAAGTTAACTGCTCCTGTGTATCAAGTTACATCAGATGTTCTGGTAACTTACATTTCCTTACTACCAAACGTCGAGTATAAGTAAGCAAAGTAGTAGTTAAAACAAACAATATTTCTATTATAACCCCTGTGTTAAAAATGGACCACAGTAATTTAGTGTATGAAAAGTCATCCCACAAGAGCTATCAGACTCAGAGTCCTCCAAACGGTAGATGTAATAGCTAAAGGGGTTTTTAAAAAAACTGTGTTTTCCATACAAAAAATCAGCTTTTTCTCTCTCTCTCTATATATATATATAT